TATTTATTATAACTTGTTTACTACCAAGTATTATATTAACTTTTTCAGCACTATCAATTATTTGAGTACTTTCTCCAGTTACTCCTGTTATTTTTATTTTACTATTTTTATTTCATGATTTTATTAAGAAATTTTTAAAAATTGTTATATCACTTCCTGTATCAATTAAGGCACAAGTTGTTATGTTTGTTTCTACTATAGTAACTTGTATATACACTGCCAATGAAAAACTAATTTGATTATTCATCCACTTCCTATTCTACATAATGTAGTTTGTCCTTTATGAGTTATATATAGTCCTTCTCTTTTTATACTATAATCTTCTAATCCATTTAAGAAACTCATTCCTAATAATATATGAGGTTCAATATCCATACTTTCATCCAAATAACATGGTACTAAAAGATCAATCCCACCTATTTTTATTGGTACATTTACCTTTAATTCAGTAATATATAGTTGTCCATCAAAATTCCTATATTCATATGGTTCTATCTTGTAAGTCATTAATCCTTCATTTTTATTTGCAGCCATATGACATTCACCAGCTCTTGTATCTATTAATATATTTGGTCCTTTTATATACCTTCTACCATTAAAATATTTTCCTTCTATTTTCATATTTCTAGTATTTCCATGAGGTTTTATTTCTTTTATACCACTAGTTTCTCCCAAATATTCCTTTTTATTTGGTAGTTTAAGATTTTTTGATTTCTTTATCAACCTTCCATTATGAAATGTTATTTTATAGTCTTCTTCTTCTCTTAACTCTGTTATTTCATGCTTATTTTTAGTTATATTAAATTCATATTCTTCTGGGATAAGATTTATTTGTTTGTTTGGTTCCACTATTTCACTAATATCTTTACATTCTTTATGAATTTCTATATATGGTTTATTGGAATAAATATTCCCATAATTAGAATTGGTAAATGTATATAATGCTCTATATTCCATAGTCATAATTTGATCTCCTGGTTCCATTATATCATTTCTATGTAATTTGAAATGTAATCCTATAATTTCATTAAAGTTTTTATCTTTTAATGAGACACAGTATTTTGGGTAA